ATGGGCTCACCACTGAGGGGAGGGGTCAAAGGGGTCGGGTGCAGTGTGTGACGGGTGGTATTCGAGGGCGGGGACCTTGGCGGTCTGATCCTTGGCTACAGAAGCTGGCTCTTGGCACATGGAATGTCACCTCTCTGGTGGGGAAGGATCCTGAATTGGTGTGTGAGGTTGCCATGCGTTGAGGTGAGTCCGACTAGATATAGTCGGACTCACCTCAATGCATGGCTCTGGCTCTGGCACCAGTTTCCTTGAGAGGGGTTGGACTTTCTACCACTCTGGAGTTGCTCCCACTGAGAGGCGCCAAGCAGGGGTGGGCATACTAGTTGCCAAGTTGCCAAGTTTTTGTGCCAAAATGGGAGGTGGCCACCACAGCCATTTTGACCGTGTCACAGGTTCCGTCAAGCCCAGACAATTCCACAAAAGGGAAGAGAGGTGGAGCTGAGGGTGGGGCTGTAAGGCTGGGATCAACTGACGACACCCGGTCAAACTAGCTACAAGCTAACCTAAAGCTAACCCAAAGCTAACGCGGAGGTGGGAGCTAAGCTAACAGAGGTAGCAACCTAGCTACAACCGGAGTTAACTGTGCACAACACCAGATCTTCTGAATCAGAGATACGCCGGACTGACCGCTGGGTAAAACCGGGTGGAACACAGAGGTCTCCCGAAAGCTGCTGAAAGCCGGCAGCCCGCGCAGCAGACAGAAGCTGCGATCAGACAGAGATGCTCCGAGCTGCGGGGAGGGGAGAACCACAAGCCGGCCGGCAGCCCACGCAGCACACAGAAGCCGCGATCAGACAGAGATGCTCCGAGCTGCTGAAAGGGGAGAACCACAAGCCGGAAGCCTGCGCAGCAGCCTGCGCAGCAGACAGAAGTCGCGATCAGACAGAGATGCGCCGAGCTGCGGGGAGGGGAGGAACGGGTGGAAAACAGAGGTCTCCCGAGAGCTCCACAAGCCGAGAGTCGGAACCCAGCTCCACCAACCTGTTATATTTCACCCATTTTCTAAAGTGCAGCATTATGTTAAATGCACTAGGTTTTACCCTATTACATTTAAATTTCATGGTTAAACAGTACATGTTAAAATCTAAGCTCAGCTCGGCAGTGACCTAAAATACATAAATATAATTTTACTTACCGAAAAAAATGAAGTGAAGACTCCTTGGACGCTCTATTAGTGCAATTAATGCCACAGCAAGTCATTTTGTCAAACAACTGCACAAATAACATCCAAAGAAAAACGCACAAACACAGAGACTCAAAATCCCGGCACAGTTTCCAAGCCAGACCGAGGCTCTACTGAGGCCTTTCCACGGAGCTAGCTCTCTGGTCACGTGATGCTCATTAATTATACAGAATTTTAGGCTTTTAATACACTTAAACAGAAGAGTGAGAAAAAAAATTCACCCCCTTCAGAGTTGTAATGAGTGTAAACTAGATAATTTAAACCAAAAACATGTTTTGGTACCAGGCTGTAAACATGTTTATTTCTGCTGTAAAATTGGTATTTTTAACATGGGAGTCAATGAGGATTTGCTCACTTCTGATACCAGCCCCTAGTGGATGAGGGTGGAACTGCAATTTTTGGTTCTTCCGGGTTGGGCTCAATTTTTGAACCACACTGTGGGGGCTTGGTGTGGGGGCACGGGATCATTCAGTGGTGGCAACCCACAAATCCTTTGGTGGAGACCGGCGGTTAGGGATGCTGTCAAGCTAAAGAAAGAGTCCTATCAGGTATTTTTGGCCTGTGGGACTCCAAAGGCAGCTGACGGGTACCGACAGTCCAAGCGGAACGCAGCTCGGGTGGTTGCCAAGGCAACAACCCGGGCATGGGAGGAGTTCGGTGAGACCATGGAGCAAGACTTCCGTAAGGCTACGAGGAGATTCTGGTCCACCATCCGGCGCCTCAGGGAGGGAAAGCAGTGCACTATCAACACGATCTATAGTGGAGACAGTGTGCTGCTGACCTCTACTCAGAATTTTGTGGATCAGTAGGCAGAATACTTCGAAGACCTCCTCAATCCCACCAACACGTCTTCCAGTGACGAACCAGAGTCTGGGGACTTTGGGTTGGCCTCTCAAATCTCTGGTGCTGATGTCACTGAGGTGGTTAAAAAGCTCCTCTGTGGCAAGGCTCCAGGGGTGGATGAGATCCGCCCGGAGTTCCTTAAGGCTCTGGATGTTGTGGGGCTGTGTTGGCTGACACGGCTCTACAATATCGCGTGGACATCGGGGGCAGTCCCACAGGACTGGCAGACTGGGGTGGTGGTCCCCTTATTTAAAAAGGGGGACTGCAGGGTGTGTTCCAACTACAGGGGGATCACACTCCTGAGCCTTCCTGGTAAGGTCTATTCAGGGGTTCTGGAGAGGAGGGTCCGTTGGATTGTTGAACCTCAGATTCAGGAGGAGCAATGTGGTTTTCGTCCTGGCCGTGAAACACTGGACCAGCTCTATACCCTTAGGGGGATCCTGGAGGGTGCGTGAGAATTTGCCCAACCAACCTACGTGTGTTTTGTGGATTTGGAGAAGGCGTTTGACCGCGTCCCTTGGGGGGCCCTGTGGGGGGTACTCCAGGAGTATGGGGTACCAGGCCCTCTGATAAGGGCTGTTAGGTCCCTGTATGACCGGTGTCAGAGCTTGGTCCGTATTGCCAGCAGTAAGTCGGGCTCATTCCCAGTGAGAGTTGGACTCCGCCAAGGCTGCCCTTTGTCACCGATTCTGTTCATAACCTTTATGGAAAGGATTTCTAGGTGCAGCCAAGGTGTGGATGGCATCCGTTTTGGTGGCCTGAAGATCAGGTCTCTGCTTTTTGCAGATGATGTGGTCCTGTTGGCTTCATCAGAATGTGATCTTCAGCTTTCGCTGGAGCGGTTCGCAGCCGAGTGTGAAGAAGCTGGGATGAGAATCAGCTCCTCTAAATCTGAGACCATGGTCTTGATTTGGGAAAGGGTAGAATGCCTTCTCTGGATCAGGGATGAGGTCCTGCCCCAAGTGGAGGAGTTTAAGTATCTCGGGGTCTTGTTCACGAGTGAGGGAAAACTGGAGCGTGAGATCGATAGGCGGATTGGTGCTGCATCTGCAGTGATGTGGGCGTTGTACTGGTCTGTTGTGGTGAAGAGAGAGCTGAGTCAGAAGGCGAAGCTTTCGATTTACCGGTGGATCTACGTTCCTACCCTCACCTATGTTCATGAGCTTTGGGTAGTGATCGAAAGAACGAGATCGCAGATACAAGCGGCTGAAATGAGTTTTCTCTGAAGAGTGGCTGGGCTTTCCCTTAGAGATAGGGTGAGAAGCTCGGTCATTCAGGAGGGGCTCGGAGTAGACCCGCTGCTCCTCCACATTGAGAGGAGCCAGCTAAGGTGGCTCGAGCATCTGGTCGGGATGCCTCCTGGACGCCTCCCTGGTGAGGTTTTCCGGGCACATCCAACCAGGAGGAGAACTAAAGGTAGACCCAGGACACGGTGGAGGGACTATGTCTCTCACCTGGCCAGGGAACACCTTGGGATTACCCCGGAGGAGCTGGCCCAAGTGGCTGAGGAGAGGGAAGTCTAGGGCTCTCGCCTTAGGCTACTGCCCCCGCGACCCGACTCCGGATAAGCGGATGAAAATGGATGGATGGATATTTTATTACAGCAATGATATTTTATTACACTAATGATATTTTATTGCAGTAATGATAGATTTTTAACAGTAATAAGTAGCATAAATGTAATTATTAAACACCCAAATGAGACGATGTCACGGCCAAAAAAGACATCGGTTCAACTTTCATTTTGGAACTATTCGTCAACCATGACGTAACGTCTCAGTTTGATGCAGTTTCAACAGTCATTAAACGTCCGAATGTTTGCTGGGTCGCTTTAGCAGGTTCATTAGCATAACTGTGTGCCCTCCAGGGCCGGACCGTGAAAGCGGGGCAGGGGGTTGCTTTGCTCTGCTTCTCCTCAGTAGCAGCGGTGGGGATGCCGGCGGTTTGCTTCGCTGCCGTGCGTCGTCTGTGTCAGCAAAGAAGGTAAGGCTGGGGACCACGGTGCCTGGCGGTCGACCAAGGTAAGCATGGCCGCTGCCAGGCTGATAGAGCGCTGGGGGAAACCTGCCCTTTATGCACTCATTCTTCTTGCACAAGCGGCAGAAATGACCTGAAGACTTGGTAATCACCGTGTGAGTTAATTAATGAAGCTTGAGTGAGTTGTTGTTGATTTTCAGGTGCACATGGTATTCGTTATTTGAGTCACTGTGATTGGCTAAAGACAAAATACGGTAGCCAGTCCCAGCCGGGCACTGCCTTGCACGTCCTCCAATCAGCTCCACATATTTTATCAGGTAGCCCCTCCCCTCTTTCAGATGGTTGCTGCTGCAGAGACTCCAGATGGAAATGTGTAGACGCCACAGGAGGCAGGGCTACACAGATCTGGCTGCTGCCAGGTGAATGCTCCGATGCAGATATGACAAAAAAGATATGAGTGAAGTGATGAAAGCATGTTTGAAGGCAAACAGCAGAGGACAGGATCCCCCTCTCAGACGCTACAGCAGAGATGCTGGCTGGGGTCGACCACACAGCTTTGTGACAGAAGCTGTTGAGGAATTTATCGCTGGATGTATTTCAGGATTCCTTTGAATTCATTTCTAAAAGAAAACTGCATTGTACGCTTGTTGCTGTTCTGGTTGAAGAAGGCAAGGTGTGTGATGGACTGACAGACCTTTGACTCAGTTTAAAGCTTTAATGTGGCCCTTTGAGCCTTGTGTTGAAAGGCATGTTTAGCAGCTTTTCCCATCTGAGAGGGGGACGACAATGAGTGAAACCACTCCCTGTAGGACCAAAACTGCTATATCTGTGCCATTTATCACCGTGTGTGGGTTTCTCATGCTTTAAATCATCCAACAGTTCTAACTCCTGGGCCCTCTGGAGCACTTGTACACTTTGTGAGAGGACCGTCCTCTGGTGCACCGCTGGTCTCATCACCCAGGCATGAGCAGAAGGAAATAAGAAAGATAATACTCACACTTACCAGCTGCAACACATCTTCGTCTTTGGGCATGATCGAGAGCTCCAACGTGTTTTCACTGTTTAGCAGCAGAAAAGTCATGATGTCACTAGCAGGTACAGGGGACATAAACAGTCAAGCCAACAGCAGATTCCCACCTGTTTTGGATGAGTGCAATGACCTGAGAGTAGGTTTTCCCCAGAATGCTCTCCCCATTCACCTTCACCAGCCTGTCCCCTGTAGAACACAAAACACAGTCAGGAAGCGAAGAAATCATCAAGTCCAGGTTGTCTCTTCTATCAGCAAACAGTCTGTAGTGGTTTCACCTCTTCTCCCAAACTGTAGGACCAAGTCTGCTTCAGCAACATCATTGGTGTTCCGGCCACTGCCGTTTGTCTGCTGCACCTGAGGAGCTGTCCAGCAGACCATGCCCACCTGCTCAACCTGGCTCCACCCTGCACCAACCTGGCTCCACCCTGCACCAACCTGGCTCTGCCCTGCACCAACCTGGCTCCGCCCTGCACCAACCTGGCTCCGCCCTGCACCAACCTGGCTCCACCCTGCACCAACCTGGCTCCGCCCTGCACCAACCTGGCTCCACCCTGCACCAACCTGCTCCACCCTGCACCAACCTGGCTCCGCCCTGCACCAACCTGGCTCCGCCCTGCACCAACCTTGCTCCGCCCTGCACCAAGTTCTTTCCACTGCACATGAAAGAGTCGTGAAGCCACCTCAAACATCCTACGAGGCAATTATCCACCGTTATAACAAATGACTTCCTGTCCACGGGCAGCCAGGTGTGATGTTTTAGACGCGCCCCAGAAGCGAGAGCGAGCTATCGTTATGTTTAGTCTATTTTTAACGCTCTACGCTTCCAAAACACATCAAACGCCGTAGTTTAGATCAAGCCAGACAGGAAGTTAAACAGAAAAGCAGTGTAAAACATCTGGAAACTTTCAAAATAAAACTCACATGCTGTTAGGTAATGTTATCAATCCAAGATTGCCTTAGGGAAAGTTCAAAGCACAGGGTGTTATAGTAATCAATCGATCAACACCAATACCAATCACAAACAATCAATTTAGACTTTGCAAAGTGGAGAGGAAGAATACAAACCAGTCAAAGGGTTGCAGTTCACGCTCCACTAATTATTTTCATGATGAGGGGACGAGTGAACGGGGGTTATAATAGGGGTAGAAGCTTTCAAAGACCAGAAAGCCGACCTAGCCATGTGCATATCAATCCCCAACCTGACTGTACCCGATTAAGCCAACAGCCAAAAGACGCAGCCAGTCCAGAACGGGAGCCATCCCAAACAAACGGTTACTACTGAACAAATAAGATCTTATCGATTGAGTAGAGGCCTGAGAATAACCGAAAAATAAAAAATGAAAATATTATTTGAAAAAGTTCTCCAAACTGTGGGTTATTTGTTTTGCTGTCAAGCACAACTGTTAATTACTTATTGCATTTGTGACTCCCCGTGTGGATTTCAAAATGTCCAACCGAACCGCTGTATTTCATGTTAACAAACTCTCAATTGTTACAAAAGATATTGATTCATTTCATTTATGTACAATATTGAGTGAAACTGATGTCCCCTTATCTAGACTGTTAATAATGATTTTCATTCTGCTCTTCATATGGAACGATTCTTGGAATCAAATTATTAGAATTGAGATTGCTCTTTGGAATAATCACACGCATGCAGCACCTCATTCGGTGTTCTCCCTTCATCAGGTTGCCTCTGAAACATTCTTATCAAACTGTATGGTTCATCATTATTTTTTTGGGCTCGAGGCATGGGATCATTGTCGTGAAATACTCGATTTGTACAGGATTGGTCCCTACAGAGATGAACATCTCTCCTGGTTCTATCAGTTTCCTTTTCTGTAAGTTATGCTTAATGGAGCTCTCATAGAAAATGGTGGATGGTTATGACAACGGATTAAATAGTTTAAATTCTGGTACTAAAATAATCTAGATCATACATTGTGTCCCTAACAACATGTATATAGTTGGTTCAAACAAGTGATCCCAACCTAATGACTTTTGTTTTGCATTTAATCCTGTAATGTTTTTTTAACGCTTGGTTCTGAATCCTTTTTACATTTAATTTCTAGATTCTTGACGTTCAAAGTCTTCACATCCAGAGAGGGGAGTTCATTTGATGGAAAACCCACACCCGGGTGTATAAGAGCTGGTTTTGCAGTACCTGTTTATATTCAAAACTGCATATGGGGCATTTCCAAAACAAAGTTTGTCATCATTTGAACCTCTCTAATATCTGACTTTATGAGATAACTCGTAAGCTGTTGGAAGTATAACTAGAAATGAGACAGTCACAGCTGATGTGACTCACATTGGTTTTATTTTCCTCCTGTTGTTTCTTTATGGTGGCCACCTTAATCTATTGGTTTTGTTTGTCTATGTATTATTCAATATTTGTTACTCTTTTCCTTTTGTCATGGAAAGCCTTCAAGCACCTCTAGGCTTCTCCGAGGACTTGGTATTTGGTTTGGTTTTGATGTTTATCATTCGCTTTATTTTTCCTTAGAGAGATCCATTGTTCTATTCTATGTATTGATGTATTGAGTTATAAATCAATTGTCTGGTTTCCTACTGGGAGTTTAGTTTAACAGTATGCTTTTGCTTGATGGTTCATTGTTGTGGTTATCTGTTCCCTTTTGGAATGTAAACACCAGCTCAGCTCGTGAAGACTCTGACTCGAGTTGTCGACTGAAATGTTTATGTTGTCAATCTAAGTTCCCAAGCCAAATAGTAGCTGATTCTTTTTCATCTAACTGAACAGTTCGGCAGTTTCGTAGCAACTTTAATTGTTTTTCTTTTATTTATTGTTTTGATCTTTTAATCTTTGTTATTTCGTTTGGAGGATGTGAGCAGACATTGTCAGGCCTATTTCCCACTCTGCTCCTTTAAGATTTAAGTTGATTGGGCTTAGCCCTCCAGGGAGCCAGCTCCCCTACTGGCCCCAAACTGCCACCCAGGGCATGGAGACACCTGCCCATCCTGCCAGGGCCCAAAGCATCAGCATTACAGAGCCCTAAGGAGTCCGAGGGCACCAACCCAGCCCCACCCCAGCAGAAAATCTATGCCCATCCCTGCATTTGCACAACTTCCAGAATATATGACATGGGACATCCAGGTAAGGTTGGGTCCCCCCCCTCCTGGACCTCCCCCTCCCCTGTGATGAAACGGCAGAGGAGCCAAGGTGTACCTGAGGCCCCTGAACCCGGGCCAGGCACTGCTGCGTGTTCCTGCCTTCTTCCTGGCAGCATACATGTCAGGACCCGACCCCCACTTTTGTTTTGGTGCTGGAACACAACACAACGCAGTACAACCATGGTCTCCATCAACCAACAAAACAACTACCTTAACTATCTTAATCAATTTCCCTCTGAGATTAATAAAGTATTTTTGAATTGAATTGAATTGAATCTTTTGTTATGTTTTCATTACTTTTGTTTGTTTTGACACAAATAACCTGGGAAATGGATAACGGCTGGTACGCATGTATTCAGTAGTACAGTCACAGAAGAATCGGTACTAAACTATTGGGGCAGCAGTAGCTCAGGTGGTACAGCGGGTTGCCTCATGGGTTCGATTCCAGCTCCCGCCAGGGGTATCCTGCTGTTGTGTCCTTGGGCAAGACACTTCACCCAACTTGCCTGTGTTAGTGGTGGTCAGAGGAGCCGATGGCGCCAAATGGCAGCCTCGCCTCTGTCAGACTGCCCCAGGGCGGCTGTGGCTACAAGTAGCAGTGTGTGAATGTGAGAGTGTGTGAAAGCGTCTTTGGGTGTCTAGAAAAGCGCTATATAAGTTCAATGCATTATTATTATTATTAAACGGTTGTTTGTGGAAGTGTTTTTCTTGGATGGTTCGTTTTTATTGCTGCTGAGTAGGGGTGAACTGCCATTTTGTTTTACTTTTTCACTTGTTTTCCATTAGACCGGGAGTTAGGATTAGAGCCTAGAGTATTAAGGTAGTAGGTTTTTGTTTGTTATTTTGGCCTTGGTTCCCCTTGAAGCAAATGCAGTGTTTTAAGCTGGTTAGAAATAGATTAATCCTATCCTAATCAGGGTTCCTTGTTAAAACTATGTGGTTTTATAAGCTGTTCTTTTCTTTTGTTGTGTCAGTCTTTTCTCATCCAGTTGTTTTTGTGTTATGATTGTTTACAGATCATTATAAGGTTTGCTGTTGTTTGGAACACTAAGAGTTTGAATTGAAAGTCTATTAAAGATGAAAGTTTGGCCGCACTGCAAACCTTTATGATCTCCATTTGTTTTGATTTGATTTACTGTAGTTGTCTAAATTCTGGGTTAATGAGTTACTTTTGGGTTCAAACAGTGCTGCACGACTCCGCCCTCTGTTGACGTGTTCTAGTAGTTGCCAGATCCTGTATATTGTCCTCACATGTGTGTGGGGCCTGATTTTAGCATCGGGTGATACCATGTTTGTTGATGTAATCTCTCCACTGGTTGCCCGTGCAGTTCAGGATAAACTTCAAAATTATGCTTCTGACTTACAAATCCTTGAACCATCAAGCTCCTCCATATCTGTGTGAACTTGTCCATTACTACAGCCCGCCGCGTGCTCTCAGGTCTGAAGATAAGCTCCTCCTAGCTGTTCCCAATGCACGTTTAAAAAGCCGTGGAGAAAGGGCTTTCTCTGTCTGTGCACCGAAGCTGTGGAACGCATTACCACTGCTAGTGAGGCTAGCACCAACAGCTAGCATTTTTAAATCACGCCTGAAAACTCACTACTTCAACCTAGCTTATACCACATAATTATGACCATCACTGACATCTGCACTGTTTAAAAATGGACTTTACAATATCAAACTCCGTACTATTGAGGTTCTTTTTTAAAATGTTTTTCTAATTTTTATTCTCCCTGTGTCTTATTGATTTTTAGCTGTTAGTTTTTGGGAATTTTGTTGTATTTCCTTTTTATCTTCTATCTGTGTTCAACATGTTTATATAACGCCTGTTTAATTAACTAACATTTTTAGTGCACAGCGCCTTGTTTGGTTGTAATGCCTTGTGAATGCGCTTTATAAATAAAATTGGATTGGATGTGTTCAGTTTCTGGTGACCCCTGACTCCACAGGGGGGTGATGATTGGACTGATAATAGGTGCACACTCTGCCTGGAAGGAATTACCTTAAATATTGGATGGTTGTTGCTGACAACAAGTCAAATTCCACAGTGATCTCCCAGAATTTTCTTGTGCTTTCTCGCCGCAGGCCATGAAACCAAGGAGATTGGGTCCTGATGAAGGTGCTGATTAGCCTAGTGAACTAGACCAAATTCTCGTTTTGCAAAGTTTGGTTTAGGCACGCTCCATTGGAACCTCCGCAGCTCCTACCAGGACTCTGGCTAGCCAATCACAGCTCTCTGGAGGGGTTTCAAACACATAAAGAGCTGTGATTGGTCCATAATGGTGGGCCAATCATAGTGCTCTATCTGCTTAGTGAACAAATCACAGAGCTTTATCCGCTTTGTGGGCCAATCAGGGCACTCTATATGCCTGGTGGGTGGGATGATGCAACAGAGTGAAACAAGAGTATGTCACATTCATTGTCCAGTGGAATGTGGAGATCATTTGAAAGACAACGGTAGAACCCGCCCCACAACCGAGAGCCGCCAATGGAGCGTGGCCAGACTAAATAATACATTTATTTAGTCTGGCTTGCCAGGCTAGGTGCTGATGCAAACAGATGGGGCAGCCGGAGGTCACTCCTCATCACTCCCGCTGCTGTGAAAATGCCGAGGGGCCACCTGGACTCAACTATCCCAGCGCAAGCTCACAAATGACAACAGATAAGTTAACGAACTGCTTTAAGCTTGCAGTGTCCACCACACAGCTGCTGATGTTGGTGGTCGCACTCATGGCTCTGCCCTGGAATCGCCCCTCCGCACCTGACGGAACAATGGAGACAGCAGCAGTTGAGGGAGTACTGGAATAGGAACTGAACCGACAGATGGTGATTGAGGCTCCTCCTGAGCCCGTCTACATGGTAACGTGACCTGCCTCCACCGAAGGCCCCTGGACCTCAAGCACCAGTGCCCACATCTCCCGACTGGTTTCATGGCTCCCCGACACTTGGACAACTTCATCGACACGCCCTGCTAACTCTACACCCCCATACAAACAACCATCTTCTCGAGGTTCCTTTGCACTTTAGAATGGGAACCGAGGACGGATACATCTGGAAATACAGAAGCTCTCTCTACCTGAACCTGCCACACAACTGGTGTGGCATATGCAGCCTGGTTCGCCTGCACCCAGCCTCACATGAGGTCACAGAGGACGGGGCCGTCCTTACGAGGATGTCAGAGCTGAAGTAATAGAGTTTAAGTCTGTTATGACCTTCCGCCCCTTCTCCGCCGGCAAAAGCCGCGCTCCTCACAACAACCCCAAAGGACTCTTCTGCATCACCTTTCCCCACTTCAAAACCAAATGCAACACCATCCTGAAGAGGACATTGTTTTGGTCAAACTACAGCTTCCAGTCTACAGACAAGCCCTTTGACCTCAGCTCTGCCACAGTTAGAGCTGCGTAACTTTCCCACTCTAGCAACTTCCTGAGCTTATCGGCTCTTGTTAAAATGTCTTGCACCTGTTGTTTCTATCCTCGTCATGATTTGCTTGGTTATAAGCTGTGAGTATGGTAAACAAGTTAATGACAAATGCTTTGGTTCAGTACACACTCCTGCTGCAAAGAGAGCAGCTGGAGGAAGAAAAAGAATACATCGCCTAATAAAGCTGGTTTCATTATGATTTCAACAATGTAAACTACAAATTCTGTAACCGTTGATTGATGTCCTAGTTATCAGCTCAGTTGATTTGATTATCTTTTATCTTTATCATTATAATCATTATTATAATTATTAATTTTATTACAGGTTGCCACCTACTGATGCAGCCTTCTTTTGTTTCAGGTTGTTACGTATTTTTACAGCCTTTTTGGAGGTCACTACTTATTTTGTGATCCATCTATTTTGTGTTAGAGGTTGATTTTTACAGCTACAAAAATATTTACCATAATCGTAGTATTGTTATTGTTGTTTTACTACTCTGCCAATTATAGAGGATGAATCTAGTGTTTACAGGGAGGAATGTTGGATAAAAGCTGATATTAACATTACTGAACTGATATTAATGTCTTGACTGTTAAACATCTGGTGCCTTTTTAAACGTAGCTTCATCCTTTTATGTTACTCTGTTGATAGATACCAGGCTCCTGCAGGTCTTAAGGGAGGAGTAGGGTTAGGAGGGTGACCTTGCCTTGGAATCGACCTTTATCAGTAAAACTCCCTTGAGAAAGTTCAGCAACTGCTTTGTTGATTTAGGTTGTCACCTGGAGTCTTAAGCCCCCTTCAGACAGGCCATGAAAAATGGAAATGTTCCGGACTCTGTCCGTAAGACCTTTGTGTCTGAATACAAACATCCGGATAACGTGTTCCGGAATTTATCCGGACGAAGCCCCTAGTAACAGGTCCGGACTTGTTACGGACAGGGTGGCTGCTTCAGACTGGTGAGGTCGAGTTCCGGACAAGGGGGAGGAGGAGGGGACCGGGGGACGCTGTGCGCACCTATGTAGCTCGCTGCTGTAGCATGCGGCGAACCACAGCAGCTCGCCTCCTACGGTACCGCCTAGACGCACGACGGAGCGCTTCACACCGCTTCAGTGATTCCTTTAACCATTGAGCTTCATCATCCAGGTCTCTTATGCATCTTCGTGTGCGCAGAATTATGCTTAAGCGCCTCGTGATTTTTATCTTGAGAGGCGCTAAAGAAATGATATTTTCTTCTTCTTAACACAAGTCCGATTCTCCCACCCCCCCACCTACACCCACCGCCACCCTGCCGCCGTCAGACATCTGGAACTTTTCCCTGCTGTGTGAACGCAGCCGAAAGGACAAGTTCCGGTACAAAAGTGGTGTGTCTGAAAACACAGTTCCGGTTAAAATCCGGATTGAATTGTCCACAAATGTTCCAGAATGTCTGTCTGAAAAGGGCTTTAGAGTTTAGTCTCCTTTCACAGTTTTCCCACCTGAGAGTCTAAGGAATGTGAAATGTGTGTGTGTTAATGTTTGTGTGTGCTTGTGTGCAACCCTTTGACTGGTGTGTATTCTTCCTCTCCACTTTGCAAAGTCTAAATTGATTTTTTGTGATTGGTATTGGTGTTGATCGATTGATTACTATAGCCCCCTGTGCTTTGAACTTTCCCTAAGGTAATCTTGGATTGATAAAACTACCCAACACATGCACTATGTCATTTCTTGTGAACTTCTGTAACCAACGTAACCAGAAGAGAAAATAAGCCAGACAGCTGTCTGTCTGAAAAAAGAACCAGAACCGGGTTTAGATGACGCTTTAAAGAACCTTAGTTGACCTTTATCGCCGGTGTGGCACGCCTTCCAGGTTACCCCAGGTCTCCATGACAGCTGTTGTCTTTAACCCTACCACCACTGCCCACTTTAACACAAGTCAAAACTATTTTTATATTTTATTTCTTAACACATGTAAAACAAAAGCTCACATAGTTGTTTTACAGCTTAACCCTCTCAGGCTCAGAATAACAACTAAGTCCTTCAGGGGAACTTCAGAGTTAAACATGCTCATAAATACGGATGTGGAGTAACAAGGTACGTAGGTTTAACGTTGCACATCTGCAGCGCCTGCCTCCAGAGGGTTAATACAATCTTTCTCACTTGATTCTAGATCCTTTGAAAATCCTGTGATGGCATCTGTGGCATTAACCACGATGGTCTTGTGAACTTTGCACCTATCAGATCAGTTTAATCCATGTCTGTGTTAAATCGCACCTAGACTGTTGTAATTCATCCAGAGAGAGAGACAGAGAGAGAGAGATAGACCTGTACACAGTCCAGCTTGTTGAGCAGGGCCATTTTCCTTCACGCTCTTCACAAAGATGGTGTCCATTGGCTCCAAGCGAGACTGGTCACAACCTAACACACACACAGCAATCAGGAAGCTCCCAACCAGGGCCGGAAAACCTCTAGGACCAGCGTGGGCTGTTACACCGTCAGGAGGATGGACACTCACCTTTTGCTGAGGAATTCCCATTCTCTTCATCCTGTGGAGAAAACATAAAGCAGCCATTAGTGAGGAGGACCACAGGGTGACACTGTTCAGCTGTCACTTTACTCTGAATCCAGATGTGCGTTGTTTGACTGACTCCCTGACCGGATGATTCCTGACACGAAGAGCTCTGCTGCCAGGTAACAGTAATGTTATACTGTAGAAGGTGTTTAAATCCGGAAAAGCAGGAACACATTTCAGAAACTTCCCTCCACTGAGCCAATAAACTAGGATTTCTCAGTTAGCCGGCATGCCTCCTGGACGCCTCCCTGGTCAGGTTTTCAGGGCATGTCCAACCAGGAGGAGACCTAAAGGGAAGTTTGGGCCTCCCGACGTGCTTCTGCCCCCGCGACCCGACCCCGGATAAGCAGAAGAGAACGGATGGATAGATGTACCCGCTGTTAGCTTGGTGGCTAGCTAACTGTATGCTACGCATTTATCTGAATAATTCTATTGTAAGTGAGCTTTTCCACTTTAGCAGGAATTTCCATCAATACAATGGTGCATACATACAAATGTGTGTGTGTGTGTGTGTGTGTGTGTGTGTGTGTGTGTGTGTGTGTGTGTGTGTGTGTGTGTGAGGGAGGGAGGGAGCGTGTGACTGTGTTTGTGTGTGAATGTACATGTCAGGTGGGGTCTTGGACTCCTTCCCTCTCCTGGTACATCTACAACATCTTCACCTACCCGCCCACGGCCTTTTTTCTGGCAGTGGGCAGTGCCTCGGTCTGCCTGCATATCCGCAGCTCCCGTGTCCTGGCCACAACGTTTTTGGGATCTGTCGGGTTGCTCCTGGTGGCTGCCTGGAGGAGACTTGATCATGGGCTCTGTTGGGTCCCTGGTTGGGTTGGTTGGCCTCGGGTCCCAGGCCGCTGTGTTCCGCGCTCGGTCAGCTTGGGGGTTGGCGGCTGCTGGTGGGCCTGGGGGCTTGCTGCTGTTATCTGCCAGGACGCTGGCGGCTGCTGGTTGTGGCCCCCGGGTAATCCTCCGCACCTCTAGGAATGGGGGTTGAGAGTCTCTCTGGGGTTCCTGCGTTTTAGGGAAATCCATGGATCTCGAGGGCTTGAAACTTCTCCATCTCCTACACATCTTTGAGATCTGTGGCCCCTCACACTCTCTTTTGGATGCTCCTATAGAGAAACCTTACATATACAAGCGCGTGTACACACATGGTGCTCTCATGGACATGGACTTGGGCATTTCCAGCACAAAACCGGTGAGGTGGCTGTGGTTGGCACTAAATGCTCTGTGAATTATTACTGTGTGTCATCAAAACTAGTTACTTTCATATATCCTCGTGTTGTTGGTGGTGTTCTGCTGCCATTCTGTGTCGCTGATGCTGCCAGCGTGCAGTAGGAGTAATACTTGGTTTTAGAGGTATGTGTGAATGAACTTTTAGTTTGGGTTAGTGTGGTTAGGAATAGAACTTAGGGTTAGGGTATGGGTTAGAAGTAGTGGGGTGGTAGTTTTCTCAGGAGCACTACTCAGGATTACTTAGCCCAACCACAGTTTCCAAGGGCAGGGTTCAGTATTTTCTACGGATGCATTGAAAGTTTTTGGTCAAAAAAGATCCAACGTTTCATATTTGGTTTTTGGTCTAATCACCTGAATCACCTGGGGCTTCATTTATCAAGCTTGCTTACACACACAAAACCGGGTTGGAAAACTGTGTAAGCAACTTTCCACACAAACTTTGGGATTTATAAAAGAAAACGTAGCAGAAGAATGTGTGCAGCTTTAAGTTGACTAAGGACCTGGCTTACACACATGCTGGACATGGAGAGCACCTGCAGTGCTGCTGCTGAGAAGATACAGTTATGAATCCCAGCAGCGTTATCACTTGTACTGCTTCGTGTCACACAGAACACGGCGTGTTGAGGGCAGGATGTGATCCAGAAACACCTGACAACATTTCTCGTTAGTCTCTGATTTATGAAGTGGAGATTGTGCAGCTGTGCGTCCTCCATGTTTGATAGATCACACACCTGCTTGGCGTAAGTACATTATTTTGCTGAGCTTAAGTACGGTCTTAGTAAGGATTCTACGCTATGCTTTATAAATGAGACCCCTGGTGTTTACCCTCATGAAGCACACAGACTTGCTGCTGCTGCAGCGTCACCTTGTTCCTCACTGGACGAGTGAATATCTTCATCAGAGCGTGAATATTACTCCTCAGAGTCGGAGTCAGCCATCAGCAGACAAAGAGCTTTAGACCGGTCAGCGTTGTAAGGTCCTCCTCTCTAATAAATAACAATAAACAGCTGATGCAGACTCAGAGGAACGTGGCCTTTGATATCCAGATGCAAAAGTACTGTCTTGCTTTGAAGACTCCATACACTCGAGTATTGTAACTCAGAGCTGGCGCTGGACGGGTTCATCGTAATCTCATAACTAAATCAAATTCAGCCAGATAATGTTAGAAACCCAGACATCACATACTTTTAAGACACTTAATTAAGTTAACATCTAAGGTCATGGTTCATCAGTTTACTTATTGTTTCAGTTTAATCACCATTTATAATCATTAGCCTTTCATCATCATTAATCTAGTAATAAATAGATTTTATAAACAACATTTTTGTCTCTGTGTGAGATTATTTTAAAGTGTTGTTTCCCTGGATTAACAGACTACCTAGTTTCATCATCTATCCAATATCAAAGGCTCAATAATATTGATAATCCATATTTTTATGGAATATTACATTTTATTGAATACCTTTATGTTCTGACCACTTATTAAAGGTAACCACTAATAAAATGCTGCCATGTGTAAAGTAATATCTTCACGAGGGATGATATTTGCAGCTGTTTGTCGTTCAACACAATATTGTGACTTTGGTGCTTAACGGGTTCATTTTACAGTAATTATAATGCAAAGGTTGTAATTATTGCATTAATAAATTCTTTCAGTGTTTCGTTTTCGGCCAAGAATTCTCCTTTCAGTGCATCCCAAGTGTTTTCCCTCTAGTCTCTCCCCTATCTTTAGTCTCTGCTCCGTTGAGGTACCTGGCAAGGCTGAGTCGGGCTCTAGGGGGCGGAGTCACTGCTAAACAGCAGGCAGAGTTTTCCAAGTGGTGCTCGCTGCAGAACCACAAAGGCGGAGCTGCACCAGAGTCAGCCCCGCCCATTCAAGAGTCAGTCCCGCCCATTCCATCAGAGTCAGTCCAATTCCTTCCAGTTGTCAGACTTGATAGCATTCTGGAACCAAAGAGGGTGTTATAGCTAAAAAATGCAAGATTGAGGACGAAGTTGAGAGGTTAATAGAACAGTTTTTGTAAAGGTTCCATTATTAAATATCTATCTTTTGGAACTTTTTACCATGTTAGATTGTGATTTCCTCATAAGAAACACGCCAAAGCCATTTTTGGCCTCATTCATGCATTTTCCTCCCATCTCAGCTTCTATTTGGTCTCCTCCCCTGAAGCGGGTCTGGTCTTGGTTCTCAAATCTGGATATTCTGTGAATTTTCTGACTAATTATTTCTGAAATGACTTCTACTGAGACACCGCCGATAAACAAAGACACACTGGGTAGCACAATTAAATGTAACACCACTAACTTTTTATCAGACGTAGCTGTGAAGTGGTTATGGAGTCAGGTTGACATGCAGTTTTGTGCGGGTTCGCCTCCCAGTAGCGGCAGATTAAAGGTAGTTTATAACCCTTTTCCTTCTTTTCTAGCTACACTTGCCAGTACTATGTTTACAACCATTTACTGGTATACTGTTTAACATATAATGACTAATGTGTTTATTTATTTATTTATTTGTTTATTTAGCCAGTGTGAGTCCATTTGTGAGCAGAGTCTCAACTAAAATGCTGTTTAGGATCGACCAAATTCAAAGAACTCTTAGAGACATAAATATTTTGCTGAAAATAAACATTACAACTAAAATATAAACAAATTAAATGTTTCAGCTGGATAAATAGATCGTTACAGACCCCACCGAGAGTCGAACCGGCATCAGCGGAGGGGAAAGCAAAACTTATGTCAGACGATCTTGCCACTGGACCACCAGAACCCCTTAAACGCTGTTGTAGGCCACGTTTGTTGGAGCGGCTGTGGGCAGATATTTGCTAAAAGAGAACTTTTCGTTTCGGGATGTATTCAGGCTTTGTCATGTAGCACGTTCTATTTATCTTGTTTAACTGGAGCATAGAACATCGCATTAACAACTGTAAACTAGTAACAGCCGTAACTCATGTGGGTCAGGTTAGTTTGCGATAAAGTGGAAAAACAAAAACAGAAGGAGTCAGTGGGCTAGGCTGACTCTGGTGCAGCTCCGCCTTTGTAGTTCTGCAGCGAGCACCCTCTCGAGTTTTCTGCCTGCTGTTCAGCTGCCTGCAGCCATTTCCTGGTTCAGAGTCTGACAATAAGCCTTAGACCTGAGCAGAACGTCCAGCAACACCACCACTTTTCATCTGAGTTGTTTGTGTGGAGCGTACAGGTTACCGTACACTGTTTACTCATCCCCTCATGATATTTTAACCCTTTAGAACCCAACCCCTTTTGAATTTAAAACTGATTATAATAAATGCATCATAATATAGAAAAAAGTTAATGAAATAAAGTAGAATGGTTTATGTATAGTCAGAATGTCACTTGGGCTTTTCAAACGTGAATATTTGACTCCAGAAGCATTTGTGCAGATGTTTGAAATGGGTTGTGACACCAGCGTCGCCACAGCTCCGTAAGGGTGAAGTCGTGGGCAAAAACCATGCTACCCCCCCACCCACACATATGAGGGCGCATGGGAACAAACCTCTACTCAGATGGGCTGACTACCACGCTGTCCAGAGCAGATTCAGGCTGAGTAGTGCTCCTGGAAAACTAGCTGTGAAGTCTCTAAAATGACAGGATGGTCCACACAAGCATGTAAGTACAAGTATGTGTGTGTAACTGCTGGAGTATGGGAGCGTGATGGGAAATACTTGAGAAGCACTGGTGTAGACACACACCGGATGAGAAGATGAGATGGAACCAGACAGGTGAGACCAGCTGTTACCTTCAGGCTGCACCCAGACGACTCTGGTGGGTACACAATAAAGTGACGCAGAGTAAATCCAAATCCTTGGACGTTCTTTTGGAGAAAAATAGTCCGTGGGCCATGCCACGGCGCACTTTCCACCTCACCCGACGATAGTGGCCGGCGTCTGTTCTCATTGGACGACACCATGCCTTTTGCCTGTACAGACAGAAAACAAAATCATTCTTGTCTCCTGTTTTCCACTGAAGCAGAAACATCCACAGAGTTTTACCACATGAGCCCTGAAGTGCATCGCTGTCCTGTCCAGCAGAAGGATTCAGCCACAGCTCAGCACGTTTAAAGGAAGTGTGAGTGGGTGGATGTGGTTCCTTAACTCAGGGCTCTGCCTACATTCCACCAATGCCAGGAATTTCTCCTGAGACTTCCTCTCTCCGAAGAGGAAGTCTCATTTTCACATATGGCCTCACCTACAGTATTTATTACATCCAGCTAACAATAGACAAGTTAAACCTGTCAGCTCTATAAATAACAAGCGTGGAACAACAGGAACCCAAAGGGATCCACCAACACAGATCTGGAAAACCAGATGGCTGGTCCTTCTGAGGATGGACACCTGAGACCAGGCCAAGCTAATCAACCACAGCATCCACCGGATAAAAGACAACAAACTCCGGTGCAGCTCTATAGCTTGCATACAGGGCCCCTCATGGCTCTGCTCCACCTTATCGCTGCTGCACAGGTAAGTCCCTCTCTCTCCGCTCGGCTTGTTGGTGGACCCTCGCTTTAGGTGCAGATCAAAGGGGAATGGTGCATTTGCAGTTTTGACTCCAAAGCTCTGGAAGGAGTTGCCTTTGACTGTTAGGCAGGTGTCGTCTCTCCTGGTTTCTAAGTCCTGCCTGAATACCCGATACTAGGTTCAGGCCTTTCAGCTTACAGCTTTACAAAACTGCCTGATTGTTCCGATGTGCAACAGGGTTAGGGTTAGGTACCTGTACGTTTCGGTTGTTACCTGTTGGTCCAGCAG